CCTTAACTTCCTTTCCTCTTCTTCCCCCCTTGATTTCTTACCTTCCCTGTCCTTCTCCTCTATAATGCTGGGGTCAAGGGTGAATTAGACATCCTCACTTTACTACAGTCAATTTCCTCATCCAGTAATCTTAATACCACAGATAGATGAGATCATCCTGGGTTTGTCTTACTTCTTCTGGCTTACTTCACTCGAACCAGTATCTTCCAGATCCAACCAGGTTGCAGCAAATTGTATGATTTCACCATTGCTTGCAGCTGCATAGTACTCCATTGTGTATGTACATATACCACATTTTCATAATCTTCATAATCCAGTATGCTAGTTCCCTTTAGTCATTTTGCCAGTAACCATTCTCTGTTGCCCTCCACTTTTCAAAAGATAGTGGACAATCCCTATATACTTTGGTCTCTTATAATGTCATTTTAACAGAATTAGTATTACGTTTAACCAAAAGTTTCTAATTCCATTTAAGATACATGTAAAAAATTTACACAACATGATTCATAAACTCTAATTCATTTAAAGTCTCTTTGCTCTTGGGGCTGAATAGATAGTATAGCATTAGGGCACTTGCCAACCTCGATTCAATTTTCAGCATTCCAAAAGGGTCCTGAACACCACCTGGAGGGATGCCTGAACCTAGAGCTGGGGGTAAACCCCAAGTACCACCACGTGTGACCAAAAATTTAAAAAAAAACACCAAACAACTTTTTGCTCTTAATACTTCCTTACCATTAGAATTTTCAAAAATAAAAAATGCACAGCCAACTGATTGTAATATACTAACCAACCAAATAATCACTGGCTGGGGCCCCCATTGTCTATAAGATAACTATTGTTCCTTAACAAAATAAGGCATTAAAATATTAAAAATTAGAAAAAAATAAAATACTAAAATTATAAAATAATTATCAGTAAAAATAAATTTTAAAATTTTAAATTATTTTTAGAGCATTACAAAGCTATTCATGATTGAATTTCAGTCATACACTATCCCAACACCCATCCCTCCACCAGTGGACATTTCCTGTCACCAATATCCCCAGGTTCCCTCCCATCACCCCCCCCATCCCCCACCCCTGCCTGACTCTATGGTAGATACTTTCTTTTTCTCCTTCTCCTTCTCCTTCTTCTCCTCCTTCTTCCTCCTCTTCCTCCTCTTCCTCCTCCTCCTCCTGCTCCTTCTCTTCCTCCTCCTCCTTCTTCCCGCTCTCTCCTCTTGAGCATTGTGGTTTGTAATATTGACACTGAAAGGTTATCGAGATATCACTTACCTACTTTTAACAGTCAGATCTTGTCCAGTATGATCATTCCCAGCTATTATTGTCATAGTGGTCTTTACTCTATCTTACCTACCCTCAGCCCCACACACATTTGTGGTTAGTTCCAACCATTGACCAGTCCTCCTAACCCCCGCTTACCCTCGCCATGGATATTCTTCTTCTACTGTATATACATATGTGTATATACATATATATTTTTACATACCGCAAATGAGTGCAATCATTCTATACATTCTATATCTGTCCATTTCCTTCTGACTCATTTCACTCAGTATGATACTCTCCATGTCCATCCATTTATAGGAAAATTTAATGACTTCATTTTTCCTGACAGCTGCATTATTGATGATTATAAAATTATTGTCAATAGAAATAAATTTTTAGTGTCATTAATAGATGCTGACTGCTAAACAACAAGGCCTGATAGAACCGCATTATAGCAATAAACATTAATAAGTTTCTTGATTAGCTGAAGAAGCATGATGCCCCAAACTGGAATGACTCTACCCAAAACATTTTTGTTCATTTTACTGAGAGTTACTCTAATATTAATTTTCCAAACTAGGAGTATTTTGGTATAAGGGGGAAGTTATCAATTATGGAATGTTAGGTGTGAATCAGAATTCTGTAGGCAAACTAGAGCACAAGGTTTTCCTTATTGATAGACTAGAGAAATATCTAGAATTAGAGCAGAGAAATTGGGGTAAAATTCTGGAATATATTCTGGATATTGAAGGTTTTGCAATAGAAGAGTCAGGGTTATAGGGTTATTTACTCTTTTTTTTTTGTGGGAAAGTGAAAGTGGCTTAAAATGTCAGGGGATCCAGGGCCAATTTCAGAGATAGTCATTCAACCTGACTGGAAGATTTTATACTTGGGTCTACAATTTTGTGCCGCTTGCTCAGAGGTGCTGCCATGGGTCATACCCAGTGAGCTGGGGGAAAGGATTAGGGATCAAGGTTCAAACTTGCTCTTGCCTCATCATTGCCCTATCTCCCTGACCACTTTTTTGATGAGAAAAGTAGACAATACATTGATTCTTCCCAAGGCAAATAATTCAAATCAATTAGAGTGATTTAAAAAAAATTATAAAGACTGAATTTCATTATCATGTAGAACTAAGTTTATTGTTTATTAACTTTCTAGAAATAAAAATTTTCTCTCTACTTAAAGTTACTAAGTTGTGTTTTAGTGGAAATTATACTCATATTTGATTTAGGGACTCTCTATAAAGTGCCTTTATTAAGAAGTAAAGAAATCCAAACGACCCCTTGTCATTTCAAGGACAAGTACTGTGTACCTCTTTGTCTTTGTATGATTTTGATATATTGTGCTGCATTTATAAACAAGTAGCACCCTTTTTGATAGACAGTTTTTCTATAATTGTTGAAACTTAGTTATGAAAAATTAATTATACAATACCTGTCAATACAAATAACTTATCAGGCTATCCTAGAATCATTTTCATCTTTATTAGTTATTTACAAAATTAAACATTTTGGCAGTTTCTTTTTCAACCATATGAGTGATATTGAATTGTGGTATCTCATTTGAGTTTTGTCTCATCTTGTTCCTGAAATACATTTAAAAAAATAAGAGCAATGACTGGCAGTTTGGCTGGATGGGCGAGGTGCTGTGTGCCCAGGGCCCCTCTGAGATACTTAGCCTGGAATGTTAGGTGTTTGGATCCATGATACAGTATTTGGGCCCAGTGGTGCTTGAAGGCCACCAGGGCCACAGCTAGAGGGGATGGGATCAAATGCAGGCAGTTGCACATGCTGGGCACATACTCACCACTTCAATACTTTTGTATGAGTTAGTTTCAGTTTTGAGAAATTGTTCTATCATATGTGTGTGCATGCCTGTACACCACTACATATACATGCATACATGCAATGCCAGAAAATGTAACGAGATAACAGAAATGTTTCACTTAAATGTTTGCATTTAAATACTGATGTCTCAAAAATAACTTGCCCTAAATTTGATAATTTCATAAACTTTTTCAATTTTGCTTTTCAATAATTTTTGAGATTTATTGAAAGGAATGATGATACTGATAATTATTCTTAAAGGACTCTCAAAAATTTCCTTTTTGTTTCTGACATTTTCACAGTGGCATTTTCATTTAAAAAATTGAGTCAAATAAAAAAATGCCAACTGGGGTCAGAGTGATACTACAGTGGTTAGGGCATTTTCTTTGCCTGCGGCTGACCTAGGTTCAATCCCTGGCATCTCATATGGTCCCCTGGATACTGCCAGGCATAATTCCTGTGTGCAGAGCCAGGATTGATCTCCAAAAGCAAACATAAATGATTAATAAATAAGTGAATAACTTTTTTTAAATCCATGAACTCTTATGGCTAAGCTGTGTAGTTAATTTTAGTTATATAAAATTAATTGTATATTAAATTATAAGCTAATCAAATGATAAACTGCTGAAGAGTAAGAACTATTATGTTGACACTCAAGACATTGATAAGCCGATATCAACAGAAAAGTATTTGAAATATTGTATTTGATGGAATTTCGAATCAGTATTTTTTATGCAAGGTATGTTTAGAACCAATTACCACTTAACTGTAACATTGCCTATTATAAAAATATTATTCTAGAAGCTGGTGGGGTTTTGTGTTTTGTATGAAATTCTGCTAAAAATCAAACAAATTTTTATTGCTTAAACAATCTTTTTTGCTTCTTTTAATAAAGAATTATGAGTTAATTTACTAAAAAATAGTTAAGAGTTTACTTGGGAGTTTAAATATGCTTGTTAAATATATTGTTTAAATATGCTTGTCATATATAAATAATACAATATTTTGGACCTTAAAATAATTCAGGCATGCTAAAACCAATTCTAAAGAGGTGGGCAATATAGTCAGCGAATAAATTCAACAAGTACACTAATCTGCTATGATACTGCTTTCATATTAATGCCTTAATTATAGTATCAGTTGTGTATAGCTATATTATAGTTTATAACAAAGCACAACTATTAGAATAATTTAGTAATGTTCTGGTAATAGATCATAGAGATAGTTTTTAAATTTTTTATTTATTTTAATGTAGAAAGTACTACAACTGTTGATAGAATTCTAGAATTAGAGTTGATTACATAACAAAGCTCTATTATTAAAATCAGTAAATAGAATTAAATTAATTAAATTAATATTAAAATAATATTAAAATCAGTAAGTCTAAAAATCAATTTATGTGAAAATTGTTATATCTGATCACAGTGTCAAGTTCTTGTCTAGCATTTATTAATCTTCTTGTTGCAGGGGCTAGAGTGATAGTACAGTGGTGGTAGGGTGTTTGCCTTGCATGCAGCCGACCCAGGTTTGAACCCCAGCTTTTCATATCCTGAGCACTGCTGGGAGTAATTTCTGAGTGCACAGCCAGGAATAACTCCCTTGCATCCTTTGGCAAGTGTTTGCTGCTAGTTGAGCATCTGTGTTATTGTTTTATTTGAGTTTAGTTGGCGTCTGTTACTTTACCATCTAATTTGGTGTGCTTGTACTGGCATTTTAGTACTAAGAAATTAGAAGGTGGCTAGAAACTTCAGGATCGATGGTCTGTGCCAATTAGTTGACATAATGGTGGCTGTGGGAGATGGGCCTGGCTGCAGGACTTCCGGAAGCATGGAGGGTTGGGGGGAGATTACCCAACCCAACTTCAAAAGACACCGGAGTTTTCAGCCTGGGCACCAAGTACCTGAAATTATTCGCAGTTTGGCATCTCCGCAGAGAATATTCATGAGGCGGTGGAGTTGAGTCCGTGGTGTGACTGCAGTGGTAGGTTGTGGGTGCAGCTGCTACTGGAGCTTTGAGTGGATGGGTATTCAGTCCAAGGGTGCTGGGAGTTTTCAGCTGCAGGGACTGATGGATTCCGTACATTTTAGCTGCTTGGCATGCATCTCTTGGGAGATTTAGTTGTGAATTGGGAGAGGTGGTGGCTGTGGAAGGTGAATGTGGCTGCCAGAGTTTCTGGAATTATGGGGGTTGTGGAGGTTCCCAGTCCCAACTCTGAAAAACAGCAGAGCACAGACAGATTTAAAACTGTGAAATTTTACCAACTTGACTTCTTTACTAAAGCAATTCATGTATGCCATAGATTGTACTAGCAAAAAAAAAAATGCAAACGAGGTACATAGTTTTCAATTGATTCAGTAATCAAATCAAGTTCAGTAAAGCAAATTCTGGGATTTTCAGTTAGAAAAAAAACCCTCGTGCAACACTTCTTTTGTTGTTGTTGTTGTTGTTGACGGTGGTGGTGGTGGTCCACATCTTACAGTGCTCAGAACTTAATCCTGATTCAGTACTCAAGGATCACAATGGTGCTTGAGGAACCATAACGTTGCCAGGGATCAATCTGGAGTTATCCCAGCAAGGCAGTTACTTAACCCCTGTAGTAATTTTTTGGCTCATCTCATAACATACCTAAAAATGATAAAGAACAAGTTGAAAAAGTAATGTTTGTTTAAGTTTACCTTGTAAGTATAAATATATAAACTTGTAGCTACAGAGAAAATTTCCAAAGAATAGATGTGTAAAGGAAAGGTTAAGTGGAAGAAAATAAGGTTTTTTATTTGTTTTATTTTATATATTTTTGACTTGTTTTAAAAAATTCACAAGCTATGTTAGAATTACTTTAAAAATAATTTAAAAATAAGATTCTAGCAAAGATACTAATAGGCATTTTACAAAATAAATAAACATTTTCAGCAAACTTACATAATTAAATGTGCCAATATTTTAGTTCTGTTGCCAAATTTTAAAAAGATGTTATCCTAAGGATGACTTTCTTTCAAGAACCAATTTGTTTATAATGATGTCATGGTTATTTCAGATTATACCTTACTTCATAGTTATAGCTACAGTCAGTATTATCAAAACTTTTAATTTTCATGAGAGCAAGTGTAAAGCAAGTTGGTTGGGTTACCTAGATTTTATTATCCCAAGACAAAAACCAAGATTAATATTGTAAGTTAAAAAATAAAGAGAAATCGGGGCTGGAGAGATAGCACAACGGGTAGGGCGTTTGCCTTGCACGTGGCCGACCCGGGTTTGAATCCCAGCATCCCATATGGTCCCCTGAGCACTGTCAGGAGTAATTCCTAGTACAGAGCCTGGAGTAACCCCTGTGCATTGTCAGGTGTGACCCAAAAAGCAATAAATAAATAAATAAATAAATAAATAAGTAAATAAATAAAATAAAGAGAAATCACATAGTTATCTGTGGAAACATGCCTTCCTTCACTTTATTCTCGATGTCCTACAATCATTGAACTTACCTACTATAAACTCATAGTAGTTTTAAAGAAATAACTTTTACAATCTGACCCAAACATGAAGCAACACTTATATGTAGCTTCTCCCATGCTATTCTAAGTGCTACAATCTTTTTTGACTTTCTTTGACTTCCTATCAATCTTCATCAAAACAGGGTATCAAAATCTGTATCAAAATTCAGGCTACTAGACCTGAGTTTTCTTGGGGCTATTAAATACACTTCAGTCTTTACATTAATGAATAATGTTCCACAGGCAGTGAGAAGAACTTCCTATTCTATTTGAGCATTTTCAGCACTGTATATATAGGTATCTGACTAATTAAACTTGGTTTAATGGAATATGGAAAGGTGAACAATAAGTAAACAGCTGTTGATAATGAAGAATTTTTATGTTGCTAAATGTTCATCAGTGATATATTTTTTAAATTAGAAATAGAACCAGCCCTTTTAAACTAGTTGCCTTTGGGTCAGATTCAACAGGCAGATGTATGTGTTTGACTGCATAATTTTTTTTTAAATAATTAAAACACATTTCACTCTGATTTCTAATGCTGATCATGGTAGGGTTTTATACATAAAAGATTCTATACCACGTCCTCTGCCAGTACCAGCTTCCCTCTGTCAAGTGGTTCTCCCCCACCTTATATTTCTCTCCCATTCACCTTGCGATGCTAAGCTTCCTATTGAAGACCAATTCTCAGTGTCTCTTGCCTTTGGGCATTTGTTGTTTTCTTTCTAGTTTTTTTTAAATCCCTAATATAAGGGAGATTATTATGTTTCTATCCCTCTCCTTCCAACTAACTTTAGTCAGTTCGACACTCTCCAGATCTATCCATTTAGTAGCAAGTTGCATGATTCTTTTTCTTATACTTATTTTTTAAATCTTATTTTTATAAGATAGATCACAATATTTGATTACATTTAATATTCAAACACCAGTCCCACTACCATTACACCTTCCCATCACCATATTTGGGATATTTCCATCTGAACTCCAATCCCTGACCCAAAGCAGAACTGAAAGAATTTATTTTGTATTGTTTGTAATGAATAAACCGCTGAAAAAGCTACAAAAAACTTTCCTTAGAGGATAGTGTGTGAAGATTGATGTATTTCACCCAGGGGTCATTAAGCCCTTTTATATGATATTACTAATGTGTTGTTAAGGGTTGAGACTTGTGTGCTGATATCTATCTATCTATCTATCTATCTATCTATCTATCTATCTATCTATCTATCTATACCATCTACGTTAGACCCCTTCAATTGTGGTACACTACTCCTGGAGTACGAGTGGTGTGAGGTATGATAGGTTTACTTGTGGGTGAGGCTCGGCCCAAATGTATGGGGAGTGACTGTGAGCTTGGCAAGGGTTGAGTTCTGGAGGTTTTTGCCTGCCAAGGATGAGTCCCTTGGGGCAGGGAGGGGCCCTTGGGGCAGGTACAGGTCCTTCTGTATTTATATACACCCCCTTTCCATTTACATCTACTTGTCTATTTCCTGAAGAAATTGGGAGTGCCATGTGTTTTTTTTTAATTTTTAAAAAGTTGTTCATAATAATTTATTACATTCAATAGTCCAATACCAATTCCACCACCATTACCCCTTCCCACCACCATTACTTTGCATTTTCCCACCACCACCCAAGCCTGACTCAAAGGCAGATCCTAAATAATTTATTTTCTATTTCTTGTTATAAATAATCCACCAAAATGATCCAAAAAGGTTTCCTTAGAGGAAAATGTGTGAAAATTGTTTTATCTCACCTTGGAGCTATTAAGTCCCTGTATAAGAGATCACTAATATGTTACAGTTGAGCCTTGTGTGCTAATATCTATATCTATGCTTTTTACTTTTTGATCAAGATCAAAAATGCCTTCTACTTTACATCTCATTAAATGTGGTGTGCTACTCTAGGTACATAAGTGGCATAAAGTATGAGATGTCACTCCAGGAATTCTAACATTTTTAATAGAGCTGGACTTAAATTTCTAACTGGATGGTGTTTGGGGGGTCTGGAAGCATCCCTGCAGTGTGTTGCTCTCTCTGAGATTTATTTGTAAGCTCTGGAGCATGGCAATTAATGAACTTATATGCACCCAGAGGCAGCTTGTGAGTGTTATTTCTAGGGTCCTGGAAGCAGAAGGAGATGGGGGGGTGGGTGCTGACTCTTGACTCCATGTGAGCCTGGAGATTTCAGTCATAATACCTGCATACCTGGGTTTTTCGTGGATTCAGAGAATGCTGTATGTTTTAATAGAAAGCATTTTTTGAGTAATCATTTATTGTGAACAACTTTATAAAAAGTAAAATTTAAAAAATATAAAGAATTTTTGCTATTTAATAGCATTAAATTACTTTTGTATGTGGTACAGCTTGTTTGACACACTTTTAGAAGTGGCAAAATTACTGATTGTCCAAAATAACATTCTCAGGAAAGGAAGGACTTTGGAGGAATCATTAAGTGTACTAGTTATGTAGTTGCTATTAGTGACTGAAATTTTTTAGGTTTTGTTTTTTTTAAGAAAGTGAGACAATTTGATGGGTTATTTTATTGTTTTGTTTGAACATAAAGTTATATGGAAAGACAATTCGAGATGCAGCTAATGGGAAGACTCTGTAAATTGAGAACCAGGGACTGATCTTGGTTTCTTCACATAGAAACTAACTTGGGTTTAGTCTTGACATCTCTCTCAAAGATCATCTATTCTTTTGGAAAGAACGATATAAGAGGGGCTAATAAGCCTGTGGAATCTGCCCTTGAACTGAGTTTTTAAATGTGCATCTTTATTCTTAGGCAAGATTCCTATTTTACAAAAGCAGGAATTTTGTCATATATAAAGGAAAGTAATTATAGAAGACTTCAACTTAAAGTGAAAGTTGAGTAAGATAGAATCTGATAAAAATTCAATAAGTAATTCTCTTTATCACTTTCTTTCTCTTTCTTTTATAGAAGTAGTAGTAGTTTTGTAATAAAGGTGTTAGGTTATTGGCATATTAAAGGTCAATTGGTATAAAGAGGAAAGTTAGGTAGTTTATATATAGCAAAAGATTATAATGGAAAACTTGCATATTGTATGAAGGAATATCTGGATCAGGTAACATACTTGAAGGGATAAAAAGAAGTAAAAATGACATGTTCATTGTTTGTTATAGGTATTATTTGGTTAGATCTATCTATCGTATCCTCAATAGGGTAGGCACTGACATATGTTTAAGGAGTAGTGATGGACTCCAATTGAAGAAATTATTACAGAAGAATGCCAATAAAATATTATAGAATTACTATAGAGTAAATGGTATCAGGGAAAGTTACTCTTAAAATACAACCAGAAAACAACAATGAATGCTATGAAAATCTTACCAACTCATCACTTAGAGTATATCTGTTAAACCTAAATCCCTGCATTTCTGAAGACAAGTGGCCAAAAGTCCAAGATGGTAGAATAGAAAGAGAGATTGAAGCTTCACTCAACACTTGGACAAAGCAGAGAACTGTGGAGTCATTTCAGTGAGAATTGCAATCTAATCAGGGGGATGGTCTTGCTTTTGTGGGCACTCAAATTTATAGGTCTCCAGTGAGCTCCTTCATGAACTAGGTAAA